AAACAAATAACAAATTATAAGCACATTTGACAAACTACACATACAAATAAAAACACATGCATAATATAATAGCTAAGCAAACATGCATAAATCAAAGCAAGCAAGCTAAAAAGAAAAGAAAAGCAATTTTTGCTTTAACTGTCACAAAGACAAAAGCTAAGCAAATAAGCTAAGCAAATAAGCTAAGCAAATAAGCTAAGCAAATAAATAACACAAAAGCAAACAATAAACAATAAACAGAACACAGGGCCAGAAGATTCCAGCTGTGAGACAGCAAAGTTATTGTCTACATGAGCTACAGAAGCAGTTTTCTGAAGGACACCATGCTGAAATAAAAAGATTTTCCGCTATATAACAGCGACTTCCTGTACTATTGTTGCAAATAAGCTTTATTGAGATTTGAAAACTGAAAAATTCTGTCATAGATTTTTAATAACTATTTACATTATTTTCAGCTATATGTATGTCGATTAACTGTACTTTTGGAGAAATAAGGATTTTTTTTAATAAAGCCACGTGTTTGAAGCAAGTCATTGTTTATTATAGGGCTTTGACTTTAATCCTCATCAGTTAAAAAAAAAATTATTTACGCTCAAATAGATATATGGTAAAAAGTCAAACTGCTTTTTGCGTTGTCAATGGACTTGTCGGGGCCTTTTATAGCCAACCACACGGTATGGGTTTTTCTCATTGTTGAAGGCCGTGCGGTGGCTTTCACTGAAAGCAGATTTTCCGCTATCTTTGGACATTTCAACTTTGAAATTTTTGGTCAGATATGTACTGACTGGTCCTTCATTTGCAGAAAATCTGCCATAGATTTGAAAACTAGAAATTCGCCATAGATTAGGAAACTAAAATTTGCCATACATTAGGATTCTAAAAAATCTGCCATAGGTTGGGGATGGCACGACGCCATATTTACCATGGATTAGGAATCTGCCATAGATCTGGAACCAACCATAGATTTGAGTCCTACATATATGCAACCCGACTTTAAATAAAGATTACTTACTTTTTTTACTTTATAATGACTGCTTATATCTGAATTCTTGTGAACTAATTGTGTGTTTTTTTTTGGTTTTTTTTTTTATTTAAATATACATTGCGTGTAAGAGATAAACCACACAAGAACAAGATTTTCGGACTTCTATTTAGGATTTCATAAAAATTATACAAATACAAATATTTTTATTGGCACAAACTCATTAACAATAAATGGTTAAGACCTATTGCATATATATAATTATACTAATTGACATGGTAGAATGAAAAGTTACATGATAACATATCATGATAGAATCATTGGAAAAGCTACATATTGATGTATCATATTAGTTCACTATTCCTTATATTTAGACACTCTGATATGAAAGAGGAAGACAGTCTAAGTAATAATGCTGAGCTATTGTTAACCAATAGAGATATGTTTTCATCAGTGGTAATGTTACGCTGTATTTTAAATATAACATTCCGATGATTTCATTTTCTAATATTTCTCGTTTTGAGGTAAATCTATTACATTGTAATAAGAAATGTTGTTAATCTTCAATTTTCCCATTTTTACAGACAGGACAGTATCTCTCCTCTCTAGGAATGTTAAGATGTCTTCCCTTTTCAATCATTAAAGAATGTGCACTTATGCGTATTTTGCATATTGCTGCTCTGTCATTTAAATTGTTTAGTGAATCAACATATGATGGTCTTTGACCCATTTTGTAGACTTGACGAAAGAAACCGAGTTTAGAAGATTCCTGTATGTTTGCATTTTGATTTTTCAAGCACTGATCATAAATTCTTTGTTTTACTTGCCTCAAGTGCTGCTTTGTTAAACTACTTTTTTCTACAAGATATGAATATCCTAATTTTTGTAAACTGCATTTAGTTTTTTTTATCCAGGGGTTTGAAAACCTTGTTGCACAGAAAATTTAATTTACAAGTGTATTTTCTGATGAAAGTATATTCTCTAAAAAAATTATGCTTGAAAATACAATTTTACTTTTGAGTGGAATTCGACCAAGCTCAGCACGACAAGCATCATTTGAAGCCCTGCAATGAAGAACAACATTTAGAGGATGTCAATGATATTAATATCAACTTTGCCATAGAACAAGATGAGCTGGCTGGTGCAGTTTACAGACTAAAAAATGAAACTTGTCCAGGACCTGATAATTACTTTTCATTACTATTTATTAATGGAGATGATAATCTGTATAGCACTTTATTATATATAATGAACAAATCATGGGATGAAGGTTCCTTACCAAAATCATGGAAACAAGCAAATGTCAAGTTCATCAAAAAAATTGGTAAACCAAACTACAATAATCCATCATCATATCGTCCAATTAGCTTAACAAGCATACTAGGTAAACTAATGGAGAGAATAGTAACATCAAGGTTAGAAGGTTATGTAGAGTCAAAATTTATATTAGATAAAGAACAAGAAGGTTTTCGACATTTCCGCTCCACCGACAATGCTTTATTATCATTTGTTCAAAACATCTTTAATGGATTTAATAAAGATGAAAGTACTATCGTATTAATGATTGACCTAGAAAAAGCCTATGATAGTGTTTGGAGAGAAGGACTTTTAACAAAACTACATGGATATGGAATTAAAGGTAAAATCTGGAAATGGATAGAGAATTTTTTAAAAGACAGAGAAGCAAGATGTAATATAAACAAGCATCAGGGACAATGGTTTAAAACTCAAATTGGGCTTCCACAAGGCTCAGTTATATCCCCCTTACTTTTCAACATCTTTATTATTGATATTTTTGCTAAAATTTCCTCTAACAAATGTAAATTTGCTGATGATGGGACAATCTGGAAAACAGGCAAAGACAAACATGAATTATTGAAGGAGTTACAAAAAGATATTAACTCTATCCATGAATGGTCAACAAAATGGAGAATAAACCTCAGTATAGAAAAAACAGAATTTTGTGTATTTTCCAGAAATGGTATGACAAAGGAGGACATCAAGATAATGTTACAAGGAAAGGAATTAAAATACAATCCAAACCCCAAAATTTTAGGCCTTACTTTAGATGAAAAATGTGATTTCAATAAACACATAGACACTGTTGAGCAAAAAGCACAAAAGTCCTTAGGGATAATCAGAAACATCAAGGGATTAGCAAAGGTATCTACAAAAATTTTAATACAAATATATCAAAGCTGTCTACAATGTTATATGCTAGCAGTGTATGGCAAATCAACAACAACACGCATATAAATAAATTAAATGCTATTCAGAGAAAAGGATTAGCCTTATGTCTCAACCAACCAACTACAGCTAGTATAGAAGCCTTAGAAGTACTAGGAATACTTCCACTGGACCTTAAAAGAGAAGAAGCCGGTATAAGACAAATTGCAAAAATAAAATCATATAAAATCACTATCCCTATTAAACAAATTTTTGAAGATTGGAAAAATATAAATGAACCTGAAAAAATAATCTCACCAATTGGAAGAATGGTATTACAGTCTGAAGACATGAAGAGGTCAACAGAGATTGATTCTGATTGTATAGAGTCTCAATTTGAATTCCGAGGGTTAGCAGCCTCAAAATCACCACCAGAGTATTGGAAAAATCTCGGAAGTTCAAAGTCTAGATCAGAGGAACAAGCATTTCAGGGAAAGACTATTATTTTGGAAAAAATACATCAACTAAAAAAGAATACAACATTAGCTTTCACTGATGGCTCCTGCAAAGCAAACACAGGTCCATGCGGGGCTGGGGCAGCTATTTTAATATCAAACAGCACAGAACATGTGGAGTTAACACAGCCAGTTTCCAATAGAGGATCTATTTTATTAGGGGAATTAGTAGCTATCAAGCTGGTAATAGATTTTCTAATAATTCCAAACAACAGAAAAAACACTGAATCCATCAAAATTTTCTCAGGCAGCCAATCAGCAATTGGAATTTTAACTTTAAATTGGAAATCAGATAATTACAGCAAAACTATTCATGATATTAAAATCGGTATATTGGCACTAAAATCTGAAGGAATCATTGTTTCCATTGAATGGACCCCTGGACACGCTGATATACAAGGTAATGAACTAGCAGATCAACTAGCTAAAAAAGCAGCACAGGAGGCAGACAAAATACAAAGCATTCCAATTTTTACAAAACAAGATATACAAAAAGGAGCAAAAGACAGTGTAATGTTAAAATGGCAAAACCGATGGGACACCAGTGATAAAGGAAGAAGATATTATTCCTTTCAACAAAATGTAAAAAATACAATTCCAAAAGACAAACCGTCAACTGAAATATATCGGATAACCACTAGTTTAAGAACAGGATATTGTAATTTAAACTCTTACAAATCAATGATATGCCCAGCACTCACTGACAAATGCAGCTGTGGACAAATAGAAACAGTTGACCATTATCTATTGTATTGTGAAAATTATGAGGAGGCTAGAGAGAAACTCCGCTCTGCACTCTACTTCATAACATCAAAACTAACACTTGAATCAGAAGTATTATTAGCAACAACAGAAAATGAAAATTACAAACATCACATAGAAGATATTCAACATTTGTTAGGGGTCTTTATTAAAGATACTGGAAGGTTCACAAAATAGATAGTTAAGGTTTTATAAGGGTTAATTATTTATTCACTTTTTTTTTTTTTTTTTTTTTATTAATTATTTAATTATTTATTTATTTATTTATTTTTCTCTGCAGTGCCACATCATAAATACAAATGTACTAATGAGTTTTATACAAAAGTGACATAAAATTACCAGAGTGATCGAAAGTACAGAGAGATTATAGTGTCAAGTTGACACTTCTAAAGACTAAAGACTAACACCAAGTGCTTCTTTGATAAATTTAATGTGTAGTTTTTCAAAGGGTTCAGAGTCCCTTAAGGATGACAAAACATGACTCGTAAATTAGTAAAAATATAGTGAATATTTATTAAGATCGGAACTGTAATACATGTTTTATCTATTCTAATAATACCGGGAGATAACTCTATGTGGGAAATCCCCTATAAGGAAAAATATCTTGGGCTAACCTGTTTACCTGTAGGCTGTTTACAGTTTAACCTATTGGCTACTCTTTAACATAAAACAGACATAGTTTTCAATTGATGGAATGAGTTATATGTAAGTAAGTTATATAAAGTAAGAAGCATGTTGCAATTCATTATATTTTTCCCAGTTAAAATTGTTATTCAAAGGGCACTTTCAGTTTCATTGGTGTATAATTACTTTGGCTGCTGATTTATATTATAGAAAATAAGTTGGTAAATTTTATTCAAAGTCGGCATATATATATACATAATAAAAAGTTTATTTAGTTCTAATGAGTTCTTACAATCAACGTAGATATGACAATAGTCACACATGTATTTACTAAAACCAGAAGTCCATTACTAGAGGAAGTGTGTGCAAGCTGTGCTATATAGTAAGGTGATCATGATGTCCCCATATCAATGGAAAGCGTCATAGGTGGTCATACCAAATCCCGTTTTATAACTATCGAATCATGGGTAAAAATATTATCATATGATAAAACAGATAACTGCTAATTAATCTCCTTCAGCAGAAAAAACATCTAACAAAAATACAGACCGAACATGGCAGGGTATTTATACATCCTTAACAACAAAAAAGACACAAAGAGATCTGAGAGTACTCACAGTTACTGACAGCTAGTTCAAAGCCAACATGGCCAATAACTAATAAAAAAAATCATGTATCTTATACTAAATATGAATCAGTACATGTCCAACATGCAATGGATTTATTGTAAAGACATCAGAGAAACGCATGACCTTGTGCAATGTCAAAATATAGGTATCAACAGATTGTAGTACCATGAAAGTGCATATGTGCATAACAACAATATTTTGTATGGTTTTAATAAACTGATAAAAAAATCAACATTTACACCAGGGCTTCCAAACGGTCGCATTTTCCAGACTTGTCCAGTAAATTATATAAATGACTTCTTGTGTTGATGCTGAAACAGACATTTTAACATAGGTCAGGTGAAAAAAATGAAGTTTTGGCGATCTTTTTGACCTGACCTTTTGCTTTAAACTGATACACATTTCCGGTCATATAAGTGACATGATGATAATTACTATCAAAACAAACCCTACTTTAATTCCCTCTCATTACAATCAAGGTTAATTAGTTCTCTGACAGCTGAAATTTACCTGTACAGGCAACAGGTAAACTATTTTGAACCGGACATTGATCGGTCTATCAAAAGTTATTTTCTTAAATTTCAACGGTTTGCATCTAATTAATTTAGTAAAAGATTTAGATAATCAGAAAATGTAAACAAATGTGATTTGAATAAAACTTTAAAAGGTAGTTATAAATGTTTTAGTGAAAAAGCGTCAGAACCACGTTGTTTGAACTAGTACACACGTGCGCAGGTGTGAGATTTAATTATGCATCCAAATTTTCAAAACTGCTAAAAATATCATTGATACCTTTATCTAACGTTCATTTCGAGTATTTTCCTGAAGAAATAAAGTGGAAAGAGCAACTGAAACTCAATCGGGCTTTGTAAACGTACATGGATTTTACTTATCCATCTCTGGTCCGTGTTTTACCATTGTCAAGTCAACATCCAGTATTTGGAAAATGTACTTTTTAAAAAGAAAGTGAAGTTATTGACAGCGTAATTTTGCACAAATAAAGAGTCTAAGACAGATACTAGTACGCTGATGTTGCACACTTCCAATGGTGCCCTGTCAATTTAACAGTTAACGCCAGAACATAGAATTTACATAAAAAATCAAGTTAAATATCGTTTTTGTGTCAATCATAATTTATATGATGCCAAACTGATTACTATGGTTGCCTTTTATTACCAAGTCTTAAAGGATTAAAATCTGGATAAGACAAAATAAAATGTCCGGCTGGCTAAAATATTTTTTGGAAGCCCTAATTTACACCAATAAAAACAATATTCAAAGATCTAATTACAGTTTTGAATTGGTAACCTTTTAAAATAAGTTTATTTAAAGGATTGATAAGTTTTACCTGGATCATCTTAATTTCTGGGCATGGTAAACAACATCACTGTAAAATTTAAGATGTGCTATTCCGTTTGAAATAAGTTTTCTACAAGTGCAGCAAAACTTGCAAACCAAATCTTTGTAGGAAGAATTTAGTAAAGGTTTTAAGTAATTTGTAGTAACAAAATCCCAGACTTAATAATTTACCAGAAATACAAAGATTACACTCATTGAAATCCAAAACTTCACTACACACATGAGCATAGCGAATGAGTTGGGATATATAAACACTGTAAGAAGGTGCAATAGGAACATCACTGTCAAAAAAAAGAAAGTTAACAATAGGGAAAGTAAAATCATCCCTTTTGTAGTAAATTTTTGTGAAGAGTTTCTGGTGTGAAAACTGAAATATCTAAATTTAGGAAAGGAAAGTTACATGAGTTATTGCTGTTGATATTTGAATATTTGAAGTAAGTTCCTTTGGGCAAATTTTGGCAGTATATTTAGAGAATTCTTGATTATTTAACGAAAAAATATCAAGATAACAGTAAGTGTTGTTGATTTTATCAATTAAATAGAATTTAAATGGATCTTAACCAACTTTGACCATAAACTGTGATTTTTATAACAGGAACTAGTCTCCTATTAAAGGGGCTATGTGTCTTATACAATATGTCAAGACCTAAATCATCACATTTTAAGAAAAAAAATATGTTAAGTTGTTTGTTAAACTTTCTTGAACATTAGCATATGGGTCATGGTTATTATAATTGAAATATACAAAGACTACTTATCCTGTTGACAGGAAGTTTGTAGGTCAATATAGAGGATGGGTAATAATGTTGAATGAAACGTTTAAACATGTTAAAAAGCCTTCAAACTTTTTTGTAAAGCAAATTGGTTGAAAAATATTGATAGGGATTTCTAGATGTTCACATTTAATTTTTATACGACCGCAAAAAAATTTTTGTGGTCGTATATTGGTATGACGTTGGCGTCGTCGTCGTCGTCCGGCGTCGTCCGAAGACACATTGGTTTTCGCACTCTAACTTTAGTTTAAGTGAATGGATCTCTATGAAATTTTACCACAAGGTTCAATACCACAAAAGGAAGGTTGGGATTGATTTTAGGGGTTATGGTACCAACAGTAAAGGAATTAGGGGCCAAAAAGGGGCCAAAAATAAGCATTTTTGTAACTTCCAGACATAACTTGTGTGTTAGTGTATGGATCTCTCTGACATTGTACCACAAGGTTCCATATCACAAAAGGAATGCTGGGATTGATTTTGGGGGTAATTGCCTCAAAATTTTAGGAATTAGGGTCCAAAAAAGGGGCAAAAAACAAGCATTTTTCTAGTTTCAGGACAATAACTTGTGTGTAAGTGTATGGATCTTTCTGAAATTGTACTGAAAGGTTCCATATCACAAAGGGAAAGCTGGAATTGAGTTTGGGGGTAATTGCCGAAACGTTTAGGAATTGGGGGCCAAAAAGGGGCCAAAAATAAGCATTTTTCTAGTTTCCAGACAATAACTTGTGTTCAAGTGTATGGATCTCTCTGAAATTGTACTGCAAGTTACCATACCACAAAGGGAAGGCTGGGATTGATGATGGGGGTAATTGCCTCAATATTTTAGGAATTAGGAGCCAAAAAGGGGCAAAAAACAAGCATTTTTCTAGTTTCAGGACAATAACTTGTGTGTAAGTGTATGGATCTTTCTGAAATTGTACTACAAGGTTCCATATCACAAAGGGAAAGCTGGGTTTGAGTTTGGGGGTAATTGCCCCTAAAGTTTAGGAATTTGGGGCCAAAAAGGGGCCAAAAAAACACATTTTTCTAGTTTCCAGACAATAACTTGTGTTCAAGTGTATGGATCTCTCTGAAATTGTACTGCAAGGTACCATACCACAAAGGGAAGGCTGGGATTGAGTTTGGGGGTGATGAATCATAAGGGGGTTCAAAAAATTTGGGGGGGGGGGATTTTTTTTTTTTTCCTTTTTTTTTTCTTTTAAAATTTTCCATTTTAAGTTGGTTATTTCTGATTTATATTTAAAAGCAAATAATAATGATATGGTAGGAGATACACGCCAAACAGGATGTGTAAATTATTATGTAATAAGTATTGTGCAATAGCAAGAAATTTTCAATTGCACAGTATTGCACAATAGCAAGAAATCTTCAATTGCACAGTATTGCGCAATAGCAAGAAATATTCAATTGCACAGTATTGTGCAATAGCAAGAAATATCCAATAGCACAATATTGCACAATAGCAAGAAATTGTCAATTGTACAGTATTGCGCAATAGCAAGAAATATTTAATTGCACAGTATTGTGCAAAAGAAGATACTTCGTATAAATTGCTTATTTCTTGACCAATTTCAATGGGGTTTTATTCTTGAATTCTTGGGGTTCTTTAATATGCTGAATCTAACAGTGTATTTAGTTTTTGGATTTTGGGCCCCGTTTTTAAATTGGTCCACATTGAGGTCCAAAGGGTCCAAAATTAAACTTTGTTTGAGTTCATCAAAAATTGAATTATTGGGGTTCTTTGATATGCCGAATCTAACGGTGTATTTAGATTCTTAATTTTTGGTTCCAAGGTCCAAAGGGTCCAAAATTAAACTTAGTTTGATTTTAACAAAAATTGAATTCTTAGGGTTTTTTGATATGCTGAATCTAAACATGTATTTAGATTTTTGATTATGGGCCCAGTTTTCAAGTTGGTCCAAATCGGGGTCAAAAAATTAAACTTTGTTTGATTTCAACAAAAATTGAATATATGGGGTTCTTTGATATGCTGAATCTAACCATGTATTTAGATTTTTGGGCCCCGTTATCAACTTTGTCCACATTGAGGTCAAAAGGGTCCAAAATTAAACTTTGTTTGATTTCATCAAAAATTGAGTTCTTGGGGTTCTTTGATATGCTGAATCTAACCATGTATTGAATAATTGAGATTTTGGATATTGGACCATAATAGGTGAATGTCCTATTTAAAATTTTTAAGTTCTTAGACCACATTCATTCTGTGTCAGAAACCTATGCTGTGTCAAATATTTAATCACAATCCAAATGCAAAGCTGTATCAAGCTTGAATGTTGTGTCCATACTTGCCCCAACTGTTCAGGGTT